TGGTTAACTTTTTTTTTCTTTTCAAGAGCCTCCCCTGCCTCCCTGACCGCACGTCACTGTAATGCACATTAATTTTTCTTGTTTGCACTTTTTTTTGTTTTGTTTATGTTTGTTCATTCTCTCAGCCTTGTCTCCTTTACTTGTCTACGCATTACTTTATGGAAGAACATTTTACATACGCATCGATAGCCACTGTACCAGGGTCAAATTCCTCGTGTGTCCAACACACCTGGCCAATAAAGCTGATTCTGATTTAATACTGTGTAGTTAAAGGAAAATAAGTCTAAGAGTTTCCTCTTTTGCCGTCATGTGTTTCTTTACATATAAACCTACTTGAGCAGTACAATACCAAGTTCAAAGCTTCTTATAAATGGCATCACTTCAAGACACAAGCAACTAGTTCACTATCTTACATTACTTATTAACAAGTCTCATAAGCCACTGTAGGTCTTGAGTGTCAAAGAAGACTATAATATACAGGCAGTATTTCTTTTATCTCATCACGTGTCAGCTCTTTCCACACACAGTCAAACATTGTTAGACAAAAGCACATTTTCCCCTGTCACTGTAAAGGCAACGTGGTGCGTGACTAGAAAACAAAATTGATGACCACAATACACAAAAACCTTATTATGTTATATGCAGCACCACCATGAGAATGGAAGTCATTACAATGACAATAAAGGATTATCTCTTATCTATCTCATTAGGTAATAAGTTCAGAGCCTTGCCTAAAAGCACACAAGTCCATTCCCCCTCTTGCCCTGGGCTATTTTGAAAAATTTAATGTGAGGTTTGATTGGCGCAGCAGGCTCCTGAGTGCTGCAAACCATTTGTCAATCATGCAGCATTTAATTAATTTCAAGGCTGCAACCACAGGAAAAAAAAAAAAAAAAACAGCAGCAGGCCTAGAGCTCATGGTATGTCTATAACTGACCAGGCTGGCCAATGGGAGCTATAAAAAGTCTCTACAAACCCGGACTATAAAGGGATGCAGTGGTAACAACTGCACCATTGAAGTGGATGCTGTCAACATCACGCCACAAATCTACATCATCCTGGAGGCCCAGTAGAAAACTGGCAGTGAGCAGAAGAATGGCTCAGTGAAAACTACTAATAATGCATGAAAATGGCTGTTTTAGGTATTTTTGTCACCAGACTGCAAAGTGCACTGAGTTAGTAGAGCGAGTTTACAATGATGAAGAGCACAAGCACCAAGCCTGCAAATTAAATGTCAAAAATACAGTGAACATATCTATTAACAAAACAATGCTACAGTTCAGTCTACAGCCATGTTACAGCAGTGCTTTAAGCTAAATGCTCAAAATGGCAATGTTGGTTAAGTAGGTAATGTTTACCATCTTAGTTTAGCATTCTAATATTTGCTAATTAGTAATGAGGGCCATGGTGGCCTAAAGTTCAGAGAAGCAAGCCTGTGGCTGGTTCAGTCCCCTGGCCAGTAGGGTTAAATACACACAACATCACT